AACCTTCCTTGCGATACGACCCGGGGAACGAATCTTTCGATTCTACTCCGGTAAAAATACTTACATCAATTTCCCACCGAACTCAGGGTTCAACTTCGGTTCTTTCTGCTTGGTCTCTTTTTCTACAAAGGGCAAAAGTTCCGACCTGTTAGTACACAGAACAAAACGTAATCAGGAAGATATATCCGAATTGAAAAATGAAATAAACTCACTTGCTCCGGAATGAATTAACATCGGAATCGTCATCCCGTCGATCCGAGGTTCATGGAAAAAGCTCTCGGATTGCCACTCTCCCCCAATCCATAACCACTCCTCCTGGAATCCATGGAGAGTTTCTGGGATATCGGTTATTATTTCACCGACTTTTAGACCATGTTGTGGCTTCGCTCCGGCAAAGAAACAACACGACGATTCCGCCACATGCCTCCTCGGACTTTTCTTAAATGCAAAGATGCTCCTTATTTCCTCACACAATGGCAGCCCATCACCCTGCTCGTGCAGCAGCACCATCAGATCGATTATCTTCTTCCAACTATTAGGAGTAATCTGACACAGCGGTAATCCCCAACTCCGAAGATACTCCGTGATCAAATTCGGCAACGGGAATCTTAATCCCGACCTCAGACTCTCAATGAAAACGCCAACACACCCCGGAGGAGGACTGGTTATTCTCTCCCCCGGATATGGAGCAAAAATTCTCACCGAGGGTGGGATCCGAATCTGCTCCCGAAGCATCACCACATCGGCATCAGTCAAAATGCTTGGCTCGCCTTCAAAATCGACCGCAGGATCAGGCCACGTCCTCACCGGTCTCCTCCAGTGAGGCACCTCAATATCGGCCGCGTTCTCTTCGACCACCCGATCGCCATCTACATCATCGGGCTTAATATCCAAATGCCCTACCAACATCGGATCCCACCGATGATACTCAAAGGCCAATTCGACCAACTGCGAATCATGATACACATCCAAGGGAACCGACTCGGTACTCGAGGAACTCGCCACCGCCTTACCCTTTCCCTTTGACGCCATCACACAAAACAAAAAAGAATACAGAACAGATAACCACAAAAAATCAGAAATGAAGCTTACCAAGGAATCCGCAGGCGAACAATACACAGGGAATAACTTGTAAGTTTTCAAGGAAAATTCAACAACAAGGTTACTGGATGCAAAAGCTCAAGAATTGAAGCAAAAGTGAAGAAAGTTCGATCAGAAATTGCGAAACCCTATTTATAATCTCCGATTTCTGACCGTTAGAGATCCTAATTAGGGGCGCGTCCCACAAACGCGACCCCTAATTCCAACCGTTGCCACCCTCTCATCTGACAAAAGCCTACTGTTACACGTGGCACCCTATTAAAACCTACCGTTACCTCATTTAAGACCATTACGGCGCGACCGTTAGCGTTAACATTAAAGTTTTCGACCGTTACGTCTGTTCATATTCCTCCTGTCGCGACCGCCCATAAGTCGCTCGAATTTTACAAAGTGTTTCCACCTCGGACTTTAGTCTGCACTTCGGAACAAGCAACTCGCTTCGGTTACTCCAGTCACATCGGGATACCGAGGACAACACAGCCACTAACTTCTTACCGATTCGGAGCCTCTAGGTGTTTGGCAATATCGACAACCATCACTCCGTATGCCCTCCGATATTGGGGGCCTCTCTGTTATCACCCGACTCGGTAAAGCATAATTAAGCGTAATTAAGGACCTTGGACGGCGCTGTAAGTGAATCCGACTCAGGCACTAACCTAGCTGGACGTCATCCCGGTTCGCACGACAAACCGAAGACGACTCAAGAAGACCGAAGTAACTCATTCCCTTCGAGGTCATTTCAAACCGAGGTCAACATAGACCGAGGTCGTCACCTCCTAAAGCAGGTGACAAGGCGCCTACACACCCCTATCACGATCTACGAGATTTGTCATCATTCATGTGGGACCCGCTGCTCCAACCGCCCACCAAAAGTTACTTTATACTGAAAATAATACACGAATTCCAATGTATGTATCAAAAAGCTGCTATAAATAGCAACCCTATAACACTTGTACGGGGGATCCCGAATTCATGAATATGCAACACGTAACAGCCTATAAAGGCTTTTCACCTCGGTCCACCTCGGACCGGTGCCATTGTTGAATAGTTCTTACATGCTTTACGTTTAAACCACTTGAAATTATCCCATAAACTCATAAACTCAACTTTAAATCGTTGTTAAGAATCATACGACAACAGTTTCGTTTATAAATTAATTGCTAAATGCACAAAAACAGAAAATAAAGTCATACACATTCTAAACGGTTGATTTTTGGGGATTTTTAAACTAAATTTCAGACTAAGGAATTGAAAAGCGATTAACTAAAGATATAAGCTTTTATTAAAGACCTAAACTTTACTTAAGACAGAGTGCTCGGAAAATAATAAAAAGCAAAAATAACGAGAAACGAACTACAACTAACGCACTTAGAAGCTAAAGTCGAACAATTAATGTGTGGAGATCAAGCTTTTAAGACTCAGACCGAAAATGTTGTGTACAAAATTTTTTTTAATAAGATCTAAATATAATGTGGTTAACTTGTATAGATTTTTTTTTTAAATTATAGCTTATTAAAATATGTATTTTTTTTTTGAAATAATAGCTTTAAAAAATATGTTGTCCTTCAACTACATCATCTAATATGTTATATCCTCTTGATTTGTAAAAACATTTTAAATTCACGTGTTTAAAAATATTAGTTTGTGAATCATACCATCATTCAATTTAGGGAAATTTTTTTTGAGCAACCTGATGTTTGCCACTTTGAAAAAATGCAACCTAATCATTTTAAATTGATATAAAACAACCTGAACTTATCAGTTATGTTAAAAACCAACCCAGCCAGCCGGATTGCCTTAAAATTCACCGGAAAATTGGTCCGACAACCTACTTCCCAGGGCACTTTGGTCATATCACATGATTTAAAAGGGCATCCTTGTCTTTTCCGCACAACACTGAATTTCTTAGCCATTTTGCCGCCATTTTTTCGTCATTTAGGTAAAATTAGGGCACAATTCCGCCATTTTTCCCCAAAGTTCGAGCATTCATGCGAGCTTGGATTCTGCAACTGAAAAATGGGTTGGAAGATTCACGATCAATAGACTTTCATTCCCTCCGACAGAATGACGCCAGGTTACGGTGAGTTGGTTGTAGTTCATTTAAAGGTGTTGGAACATTTTTTTTTATCAAGGTGTTGAAACATTTTTTTTCTTACATGTGTAGTCCATGCTTATGATACACCATGTCCAACACCCATCTCGATTTCATCCAAATTAAAAAAAAAAAAAAAACAAAATTAGGGTTTCAAAATTTGAAGAACATACCCGGGTTTTTGCACATGACATATATCTTCGTCCAGGGTTGAGGTCGGTCCATGACGTTCTCGTCACCACATTTTTCCCACAATGGCAAAAACGTTCCACAGCAAATTCGGCAGTTTGCTTCCACTCCATTTTTCCCAAAATTTCTGAAAAATAAGAAAAAGTGGAAGAAGAAGAAGATATCGGACCTCACATTATGTTTTATTTTTTTATTGGCAGTTTAAATTACCAAAACACCCTTAAAGTGCCTTTTTTTTTTTCATTTTTCCGGCAATCCGACTGGCTGGGTTGATTTTTAACATAACTGATAAGTTCAGGTTGCTTTTTATCAATTTAAAATGATTAGGTTGCATTTTTTCAAAGTGGGCAAAAATCACGTTGCTCAAAAAAAATTTCCCTTCTATTTATATGTATGAAATTTTTAATAATATTAAAATAAATTTCATATTTTTTTAATTAAATTGTCATAAAATAAAATTTTAATATATTTATAACTTACTACAATTATTGTTATTGAAAGTTTAACACTAGGATTTTTTTACCAAAAAAAAATCAAAAGTTAAGTTGCACACAAAAAAAAAATATTAAAAAAATATACGTTTTCTGCACATTTTATTATTTTAATTGTAAAACGTATTCCGTGAATACATTTTTCTTTATAAAAAAAAATGTGAAAAACGTATTTAGTGAATACGTTTTTTAATTAAATTATACAGAAAACGTATTTTGTAAATACGCGCATTTTATGTTGATTCACTGCTTTTTTTTTTTGTTTTTTGTCCACTTATTATTTTTTTATTAATAAATTTATAAATTACTCTTAACACTAGGGAGTAATAATAGTGTATAACTGCAGGGCATTGGAAAAGAAAAGAATGACGACTAGCAAGTCAAATCAAAGAACACTGGCAAATGGGAAAGGACCCAATCGGCGTTTTCAGAAACAATTTTCACGCTTTTTTTTCTTACCCAAACGTCTCTTCAGTTTCCCACCTTTTTGCTCTTACTATTTATTTTTATTTTTATTTTCATTTTATCATCAGTCGTCAAACATATCCATTATAGTTGAAGTGTAAATTCAGTTGTACACTGATCTTCCCTTTTTTTAATTATATAAAGAGGCTGATTCATAGCGACGTAAGGTGCGTTGTGTGTTGTGTCGTTTGATGTGTTTTTTTTTCTAGAAACTTCATTAATAGAATAAACATTAGAATTTAACTGATCCATTTTGATCTCGACCATTATTAGTACTATGTCAGAAGAATTGTCGGGCATATTTGATGATCTTTTATTTTTCTTATAGCTTGTAATTCACCCTTTTGAGTGGGGTTTTTATGTTCATAGTGAACTGCGTACGGAAGATTCTTACTAGGTTGGTAAAGGTATTTTCCACACATGTTTCCTTAATCTCAAAGGAAAAACTCCACTATTATTGATGATATTTGTTGTGCCCTGTTACAAACACAGGGGAAAGAAGGCCTTGTCTTTTTCGATTTCTTTAATGTGTGTGTGTGTGTGTGTGTGTGTGTGTGTGTTTTCATGCATGCAACAGTTTTATGCCTCTATTTATTGATTTGGTTTTGCAATTGATCTCTTTTGTTTTAGTAAACCAGAGTTGATATATCTCAAAGTTGAAGATGGAGGAATTCGAAGGCCATTCGGGTGGCGGCAAGAGGAAGTCGTGGCCGAAAGATCGATTCATTGATTTGGTGTTTTCATGGTCAATTCAAGAAATCTTTGATGAGAATATGTACAAAAATCAGGTGTTTTTTTTTTGCCCTTCAATTTCAGTGCTTGTATGAGTTTACAGTTTATTAGTTTGTGTACCTTCATAATGAATAGTTGATATCCAATAATGGTTGCTTTTAGTGTCTCAACTTGCTTTCTTAGTCTTCTTAGCTGCTGTTTATAGATGGCTCTTGTGGAAACATATTTGTGTTTCAACTTGCTTTCTCTCTCTCTCTCTGAGTGTGTGTTTGTGTGTGTGTGTGTGTGTGTGTTTTATTGCAATTTGGTATGAATATGATTGAGTCAGCTGATTGGTAATACAAATATGGTTCTTCCTTGACGATTCTCGTGGAGTTGTGACGAATGAGATTTTTAACTGTGAAGTTAACTTACGACACATAATAATGTTGCGAAACGGTTTGTTTTTTCAACAAAGATCTCCCTTGTTTAGTGTGGACAAATATTTTAAGGAAAGGGAAGGAGAATGTTAGTTTCTCTTTATGAGCAAGATATGACTAAGAAATTTAGTGAATCTCATGTACAAAGTGAAAAGTAGGTAATTTAAATTCTTCCCATTTTCGGCGTGCAATCAATGGCGCATAACATCTCTTCTGCCCTTAAGATTTTTTGTTTCTTATGTTTTTATTTTTTTCTTGAATAAACTTTCTGTCCCTATCAGGTGGAGAAGATTCCGGAGGAATTCGATAGTGTCGACAGGTACCTCGGTTCATATGTCTATCCTTTACTAGAAGAAACTCGTGCAGAGCTTTCTTCGGCAATGGAAACTGTGTACAAAGCACCTTTTGCCGAGGTAATGTATTTCGTGGAGGACAAAAGTGATGCTTTTTTCTATGATGTTAGAGTTGACCACTGGAGGAATAGCCAAAGTAACCGTGGTAAGGAGGCTTATAGAACCTTGCCCGGTGATATTATTCTCGTCTCAAACATGAAACCCGAAACAGCTTGTGATTTGGAACGTGCCGGATGGGCTTATACATTTGCTTGTGTAACAAAAATCCCGGAGGACGAGGGCAATGATGGTAGCACATCATGCAATTTTAAGGTTAGGATGGCCGAGCACGTTGATACGGATGGGCTCTATGTGGTTTTCTTGATGAATGTCTCCACACAGAAGAGAATTTGGAATGCACTCGGAATGCGCCGGAATCTGAGGATCATCGAGAAAGTAATATCCAGAGACGACATGGTAAGCTAATAACTTTTTTGTATTATTATTTGCTTCTTTTTTTTTTTTTTTAATTTTAAAGGCATGATGCATTCTTTCATGAATAGTGACTGTGGTTTTTCACATTTTTCCCATCGTCGACCTATTGTATGAATGGTGAAAATTCTTCGATCATTTCTTTTATGAGTCTCATATCTCTTCCCTTCCCTATTTTAGTTTCTTCATTAACTATATAATTCACATTGATGGCTTCTTCAACATTTTTAGTTTGTACTTAATTTTGCAGAAATATATGAAAGTGGAATCCTATCTGTTTTTATTTCTTTATAACCTCCTCCTTATAGAACTTATTCGGCTATTTGATAATCAAGACAGTGAAAGATAAAAAAACTGCTATGCAATCTGCATTTCTCCTTTTTTCTTTGGATATGAAGTTATTAACTAGTGTGCTCATTTCCAACAGGTTGAGAAAACTTGTGAACTCTGCCTGTTCAAATACAATATCAACATAGAAGAAAAGCTCGAGCAAACATTTACGTCCAAGTTGAACGAATCACAACTAGAGGCAATTTCCGCATCTCTATCCAAAGTTCACTGCAACCACACTTCATCAATTGAGCTCATGTGGGGTCCACCGGGGACTGGCAAAACTACTACCTTGAGTGTCTTGCTGTATGCTCTCCTGAAAATGAATGTGAGGACTCTGGTTTGTGCCCCGACGAATATTGCCATCACAGAATTGGCTTCGCGGGTTATAGCACTCATGAGAAATTCAGTTGAATCCAAATCCGAGAAGAACTTTCGGTTTTGTTCGTTGGGAGAAATCCTTATTTTTGGAAACAAAGACCGTCTGAAAATTGGCTCGGAGATTGAGGAAATCTTCTTAGAGTACCGTGTTAAAAGAATTCTCGAGTGCTTAGTATCATACACAGGGTGGCAAAAATGCGTGTCGTCAATGCTCGATTTTCTCGAGGATTGTGTTTCTCAGCATCAGATCTTCTTGGAGAACGAGCTAATTAAAGCAAGAGAAAGTACAGAAGAAGAAGAAGAAGAAGAAGTTCAAAAGCCTCCATCCATGTCCCTTCTTGAGTTTGCTCGAGATCGATTTCCACATATTGCAAAATCTCTGAGAAGATGCATGCAGATATTCTTAACACATTTACCTAGAAGATCCTATCATGAGCAAACCTTTAAAAACATGGAGCAAGTAATATTCCATCTCGACGCGATTGAGAATTCGCTGTTTGCAGACGCGAGTATGACATCTAATGAATTGGAGAGTGTCTTTCTACAAAAGGTCGTGCCTTTTCCCGAGTCGCTGGTCGATACATCATCGTTAGTGCATGCAAGAAGCCAGTGTTTGTCTATCCTAAAATCCCTTAATGTGTCTCTTGGTGCACTTGGGCTTCGTATTCTCACTAGTAAATATTCGGCCGAAGAGTTCTGTTTCCAGAGGGCATCGTTAATTTTCTGCACCACATCATCTTCGTATAAGCTACACTCGTTTGATATGGAGCCATTTAACTTATTGGTCATTGATGAAGCTGCTCAAGTAAAAGAAAGCGAGTCGATTATAGCACTCCAGGTCTCGGATGTTGGGCATGCTATTTTAGTTGGTGACGAGTGGCAATTACCTGCTACGGTTAAGAGTAAGGTAAAAATTAATCTTTTTGTATACCAATTTTTGTATTTGCATGTTAGTCACAAATAATGGTCATTTGATTTTATTATTATTATTCATATGCAGCTGTCTGAAGATGCTGGGTTTGGCCGAAGTTTGTTTGAGAGACTGAGCTCACTGGGACACTCTAAGCATCTGCTTAATGTGCAATACAGGATGCATCCATCTATAAGCCGTTTTCCAAACTCGAATTTTTATCTGAACCAGATATTAGATGCACCTTATGTGAAGAGTCCAACCTATGAAAGACGATTTCTGCAAGGGAGAATGTTTGGTCCATATTCTTTCATAAATGTTCGTGGAGGAAAAGAAGAATTAGATGATGTTGGGCACAGCCGAAGAAACATGGTTGAGGTAGCTGTAATTGTGAAATTAGTGCAAAAGCTCTATAAAGGTATACTAAGCATGTATTATTTTTCAATATGATTTTTTTTTTCTTTTTTCGTTTTCCATACACAACCATTTTCATCAGGTGGGTTCCTTTCTATTTTCAGTCCTTCGATGACAGAAAGTTACATCAATATCATCTTTTTGAAGATATTTGGTTACTACTTACTATGTTAGGATGGATGGATTCATATAGGGTGAGACCTTTGTTATTTCATTTGAATCCCAAGATTTTGATTTAGTTTAGAATTCTTGACTGGTAGAATGTATCAATTATGATTCGTTAACAAAAAAGATGATCACCTAGTTATGGAGATGATTCGAACTCCATCATGATAATGTAAAAGAGAGCTTTTGCTTTGTCCAAGGATATAAAAAAAAAAAAGAAAAAATTGTAAGAATTTGTTCGCATATTATCATTTTCAATTTCTCTTGTTTCATTCAATTTACAACTCTTATGCTTAATTATTTACGGCCGTGCATTGAAAATCATATAGTTAAGTAGTATAATTCTACTGTTTTCAGACAACATTGTTCTTACAAATTTTGCCTATTTTTGTATTCCACAAACAGCATGGGATGGCTCAAATGAGAGTCTTAGCATCGGCTTGATTTCACCCTACGCTGCGCAAGTTGCTGCAATTCGTGATAGGCTTCATCAGAAGTACGAAAACCTAAACAGGTTTACGGTAAAAGTGAAATCTGTTGATGGCTTTCAAGGTGGCGAAGAAGACATAATAATTATATCAACTGTGAGGTCCCATTCTGGTGGGTCCATCGGTTTCTTGTCTAGTTCTCAAAGAACCAATGTTGCTTTAACAAGAGCTCGGTATGCAATCAAATGATTATTCTCATACTTGTATTTTTCTTTTACTTCTTCCTTTTTATTTTTTCCAGTGAAATTTGTTATTTTCATTTCCTCTAGTTGAGCTCTCTTTATTTTTACTGCTACAGACATAATCTCTGGATTTTAGGCAATGAAAGAACTCTGAGTAAAAGTGACTCAGTTTGGGAAGCACTGCTATGTGATGCTAAGAGCCGCAAATGTTTTTTCAATGCCGATGAAGATGATGACATTGGAAAAACCATTATAAATGTTAAGAAAGAGTTGCAGCAACTTGACGATCTTCTTAACGGAGATAGTATACTTTTCCAAAATTCAAGATGGAAGGTATTCATTCGTTTTGTTTTAAAATAATTATATCTCTATCCTGCAAAAGTAAACAACATTAATACCTATTTGTTTTTTAGACAAACAAAAATAATTTTATGTATGGCGTAACTTCTCACTTTAATCAGAAGAAATTTCGAAGCTTGAAATTCTTTATGGTGTATCTTGCATGATGTCTTCAGGTTTTATTCAGTGATAACTTTCGAAAGTCATTCCAGAGACTGAAACCTTCGAATGTTAAGAAGCTAGCCATAAATATTTTGCTTAAGCTTGCAAGTGGTTGGAGGCCGAAGAAAGTAAACGTGGATTGGGAGTGCAAGAACTCTTCGTATATCGTGAAGCAATTCAAGGTTGAAAAATACTTTGTTGTTTGCTCCATCGATATATCTAAGGACTCCATCTATTTCCAAGTTTTCAAAGTGTGGGACATATTGCCTATTGCCGAGACCTCAAAGTTGTTGAATCGTCTTGACAGCATATTCGCAATGTACACAGATGACTTCATCAAACACTGCAATGAGAAATTGTTCGAAGGGTATGTCTTTTGTATAATATTTTATTGCTATCAATATTAGCTAAAAGGAAATGTCTTTTGGTTTACGATTTTTAGTTATGTCTACTTTTAAGTAATATTCCATTTTGTTCAGAAATCTTGAGATTCCAAGAAGTTGGTCAGTTTCAAAGGATATAATTCGTTACAAGAATTCCAATAATGCCAACTTTAACACGACTGCAAGTGCCAGTGCGAATGATGGTAGAACTTTTGTCGAGAATTCAAAAGTGAACGAGAGCTTACTGCTGATGAAATTCTACTCACTTTCATCGGGAATCGTGAATCATTTGCTTACTGATGCTGAGGGCCGAGAAGTGGATCTCCCATTTGAGGTTACTGACGAGGAGCGTGAGATAATAATGTTCTCCAGAAGCAGCTTCATACTTGGTAGATCTGGCACCGGGAAGACGACTGTTTTGACTATGAAGCTGTACCAAAAGCTTCAACAATATGTCATCACATCACATGAATCTGTGGGAGCTAATGAAGGAGCTGATTCTGAATCTGTGGAATCTCCCACACTGCACCAGCTTTTTGTGACCGTGAGCCCAAAACTGTGTTTTGCTGTCAAAAAGCATGTTACTCAGCTGAAGAGGTATGCTTAGAATTCATGTTTGTAGCCCATTTGCATGCATTTTTTTTATTTTATTTTTTTTTATTTTTTTCATGTGCTTTTAGTATTTTGTAAACAGATGGTTTGTCTTATCTCGAGCCTAACTCAAACCTTTGTATTTTGTGTTCTATACAGTTTTGCTAGTGGAAACCTTGTTGGGAGCATCACTGATATGGATGAAATTGATGAATTGGCTGAGTTTAAAGATATTCCGGACACATTTGTTGGTATTCAGCCAGAAAAGTACCCTCTAATCATCACATTTCATAAGTTTCTAATGATGCTTGATGGTACTTTGGGTAACTCGTATTTTGAGAGGTTTCGTGAAGTGAGAGGTTCATCTCAATATGACGGTGGAAGATCGATTGCTCTGCAGACTTTCATTCGAAAAAATGAGGTTACTTATGACCGTTTTCGGGCCCTATACTGGCCCCGTCTCAATGAAAAGCTCACAAAGAATCTTGATCCATCACGAGTTTTCATTGAAATAATGTCTCACATTAAAGGCGGACTGCAAGAAGGCGAAGCATGCAATGGAAGAATAAGCCGGACAGAGTACTTATCGTTATCCGAAAGTAGGATCTCGACTTTGACTGCTGAAAAGAGGGAGTTTGTATATGATATTTTCGAGGATTATGAGAAGATGAAGCTGGAACGTGGTGAGTTTGATCTTGCTGATTTTGTGATAGACATTCACCTCCGACTCAAGAATGAGAATCTGTCGGGTGACAAAATGGACTTTGTCTACATTGATGAAGTTCAAGACCTTACCATGCGACAAATTTCACTATTCCAATATATCTGCAAAAATGTAGATGAAGGCTTTGTTTTTTCGGGCGACACTGCCCAGACGATTGCCAGGGGAATTGATTTTCGTTTCGAAGATATTCGATCCTTGTTCTATACCGAGTTTTTCATGAAATCTAGAAATGGCGATTTTCGAGGAAAAAGAGAAAAGGGGCATATATCGGATATATTTTGTTTATCCCAGAATTTTCGTACTCATACAGGAGTACTTAGGTTAGCCCACAGTGTCATAGATATTATTTGCCATTTTTTCCCGCTGTCGATTGATGTCTTACCTCCAGAGACGAGCCTTATATATGGTGAGTCTCCTGTAGTACTCGAGCCTGGCAGTGATGAGAATTTAATAATGACTATTTTCGGACATAGCGCAAATGCTGGTCGAAAATGGGTCGGTTTTGGTGCCGACCAGGTTATTCTAGTGAGAGATGAGTCTGCTCGAAATGAAATCTTCAACTATATTGGTCATCAAGCTCTGGTTTTGACTATAGTTGAGTGCAAAGGCCTCGAGTTTCAGGTCATAAACTTCTCTTACCTTTTTCTAATAGTTGCTTGCTTTTTATCTGTGCATTTGAGTGACGATAGTTAATATTTTTTCTATTTTTTCTTATCAAGTTCATTTTGTGCTCTGATATCATGGTGCTGGCTTTGCATAATGTAGGATGTCCTGTTATACAATTTCTTCGGCTCTTCACCTTTGAGCAATCAATGGCGAGTCTTGTACGAATTCTTGAAAGAAAAAGACCTCCTTGATGCAAATTCTCCAAACTCCTTCCCGAGTTTCAGTCACTCTAAACACAGTCTCTTGTGCTCTGAACTCAAGCAACTATACGTGGCGATCACTCGTACGAGGCAAAGATTATGGATATGTGAGAACAACGAAGAGCTTTCGAAGCCTATGCTCGACTACTGGAGGAGACTTTGCCTTGTCCAAGTAAGAAAAATTGACGATTCACTAGCAGAGGCAATGCAGAGGGCAAGCACCCCCGAGGAGTGGAAATCGCAGGGGATCAAGGTCTTGTAAATTTGCTTTCTTCTGTTTTCTACTGTTGTACTGCCTTCGCGATATATTTTCTTTTTGCCCTTTTTAAAAAAAAAAAAAAATTTGCTTGTGTTATGCAGCTTTTCTGGGAGAAAAATTACGAGATGGCGACTTTGTGCTTTGAGAAAGCAGCCGATGAGACGTGGGAGAAAAGGGCTAAAGCTTCCGGGCTAAGAGCTTCTGCCGATACTCTTCGCGGTTTGAATCCGGACGAGGCTCACGTGATGCTTAGAGAGGCAGCCGAAATCTTTGATTCCATTGGGAGAGCTGATTCAGCAGCTGAATGTTTTTGCGAATTGGGGGAATACGAAAGAGCAGGTGTGTGATTCCCTCACAAGAAACAGTCTGTTAGTCTGTAGATTTTATATACGAGCGAGCTCTGAAAAGTTTGCTAGACATCAGCTATGATAATTTCGAAAACTAAATACAAGATTTTGCAAAAAAGCTTGCTTGAGTTTGATTCGCTTACAAAACTCTGAACATATTTTTATAAATTAAAAGCAAATGTTTATCTGATATAAATGTTAACTGCATGATGACAACTCTTCCTAGCTTGGTCCATTTAATAAAAACTGAATTAAATATGCTCTCAGTTAGTACTCTTTCTAAGTTCGATATGGATTGCATACATTACACCCTCCCCTGGAATTTCTAAGTTCGGTTTGGAGTGTTCATATTTGAACTGAAGGCAGGAAGTTTGATTGATTTTGATTTCGTCTATATTAGGGAACATATATTTGAAAAAGTGTGGTATATCCGAGCTCAGAAAGGCTGGTGAATGTTTCTCTCTTGCCGGAAGTTACAGAACTGCGGCAGAAGTTTACGCAAAAGGGAACTTTTTCGATGAGTGCTTGACAGCTTGCACCAAAGGGAACTATTTCGACCTCGGCTTGCAGTATATTGAGCAGTGGAAGCAACAGATGTCACTGAACAGCAAGCTTCACACGAAATCCAAGGAGATTGAAAAAATCTCTCAGGAGTTTCTAGAAAAAATTGCTGTGGAATGTCACAAGAAAAAGGATAACGCTTCATTAATGAAGTTCGTCCGGGCCTTCAACACTATGGAGTCCAAACGCCTTTTCTTGAAGTCAATCGATTGCCTTGACGAGCTTCTAACTTTGGAGGAAGAGTCCGGAAACTTCCATGAGGCTGCGGATATCGCAAAGCGCCTCGGAGATATTTTACGAGAGGCTGATCTTCTAGAAAAGGCCGGTGATTATTCAGATGCCACCTCGCTCATACTTTCGTATGTGCTGTCGAATTCTCTTTGGCAGCCCGGCAGCCATGGATGGCCGTTAAAGGCTTTTTCTTCTAAGGAGAAACTTTTAACCAAAGCCGTGTCTATTGCACGGAAGGTCTCTGGAACTTTTCATGCATCAGTTTCTTCATCGGCCAATGCTATTATGACTCATGAACAGCAGAAGAACTTGTCTGAGTTAATGCAGTGGTACCGCTCGGCAAGCCAGAGTTTTTCTCGTACGGGCGTGATTCTAACCGTAAGAAAACTTTTAGACAGCCATCTTCAAGTACATCCGACCAAGTTCGAGTGGGATCTTAAACCAGAAAACAATACAAGGCTAGTTGAGAGGATTTTAAGGAACCAAGCCTCGTGCAGAACCCTTGTTTACGTTTGGAACTTATGGAAATCGGACGTTTTTCGGATCTTAGACTGTCTGGACTCTCTCAAATGGCAGCATCTCGAGAGCTCTCAAGACACTGCAGAATTCTGCTTTAACTATTTTGGGGTCCGGTCGGCTCAAAATTTAAGTGGCAGCTTTGTGTTGCTAAAACCCGATGCTGCATGGGTTGCAAATGCTGTCGATAAAAGGTTCATCGTGAGGGAAAATAAGTTGGCGTTTCTTGATGCTCGTCATTTTGTCACGGCTTCTCAAAATTACTGGCGTGGGGAATTGATTTCTACTGGGTTTAAGGTATTAGAGGTTCTTCAGACACTACATAAATTTTCCTTTTCGAGGCCCATATCCAAGTACTGCCAATGTTCCACACTGATTTGCATATATGAAGTGACGAGATTCTTTATCGAGTCGAATTCTCTTGATGTGAAGAAAGGTGATGAACGCAGGCTACAAGAGTTTCTCCAGCTGTCTGCCAAATACTTTGAATTTGTTTTCCCTTTGGACCCTCGGCAGTCTTTGTCCGAAAATCTGATCTGGTTAAGGGAAACTGAAATCTCCAAGGATTTACTCGGAGAGATTATTTCGATGAATATTAGCACAAGGGATGGGCACACATACGCTCAATTCGGACGGGTAGTAACGATAATGCTAGCTTCCGGCAAGCCAAGGCCTGAACTTCTCAGGAGAATTACCGAAAGATTTGGCGGAAACATGTCTTGGAAGCCGTTCATGGAAAGTTTTGAAAAGGCTATGAATTCGTATTCGAGTGGTTCGGAGATTATGATACGAGAGTTTCACAGAGTATTGGAAGAGTCCTTCCACGCCAGGTGGAGTCAAAAAGACTGCATATCTCCGAACTGTTTCGTTTATCTTGTGGAGAGGCTTTTGATTTTGGTCCCTCACCCTAAGGGCATATTTTTTACCTCGAAATCTTCGTTCGTGGAGCACGTAATGTGCCTGCAGCCAGATGCCGACCCATGTGCCGGTTTCTTCACGGACAAGAAATTTTACTCGAGTGACATTTTCAAGTTTCTCTTCTGGGTGGTTCAGCAGTGCCTCTTTAAGTATCGCGAGGCAGAAGGGTGGATCAAAAAATCGGGTATTAACTGCAGGTATTGTAGAAATGAAGAACGGTGTACTTTTTTTTTTCATTTATACATGAAGGGGAGTAAAATGTGCTGCTAATAATAATTTTCTAACAGGTACTATCTCCCGGTGCTGGTGCTGAGATTGATCATAATCCTCTGCTCTTTGTGCCTGAACTCGGATTGTCCATTCAACGTACTATACGAGATGCTCAATGCACAACACATCAGATCAAAGCTGCCGGTGGACTTCTGTCGGGCTCTTTGTGGCAGGAGGAAAGATGTCTCGTACGTTGATTTAGTTGCATCGGCTTTCAAACTGATCGGAGATCCTCTCGTGATCGTGTCCTCCGGTGGGGCCCGCTCAAGGTTTGCGTGTCCAGATGCCGTTTTCCTTGACATGAGCTCTTTCTCGCGCAGAAACGAGGTCTTGGAAGTACTTTTTCCTAAGAGCACTGATTATTCAGACGAGCAACCGTCGGATGAAGTAGCAATTATTATTCCTCCTCCTCTGGTGAGTGGCACTACCGAACCGAATGAGGAAAGTGATATAAAGTCGAGCTCGGAGAATGAAATTAAAGGGAAAGTTGAAATAAATTGGGGACTCATTCGAGAAATGTCCGAGGCCTTGGAGTCACTTGAGAAAACGAGTGGCGACCGGAAATTGGAGAGCCTTGTTCTAGAAAAGAAGGTACTCTTAAACATTGACATTTGATCTAATCAGATAGTAGTTCTTAGATATGTGGGTTATTTATTTGATGTTCTTTTTTTACTTCAGGTGGAAATTGAGGAGCATATGAATCTTTTGATATCAACAATGTCCGAGTCGAGATCTGATTCCGGTGAAGAAGGTGAAAATGAGCTGCATTTAGCAACCGACGTGTTTGAGGAATTGAACACGATATGTTCTTCGTTGGATACTACGAGGTAAGTCATATGATTTACTGTTGCATATTTACTTAATTACTTGCAACAAATAATCTAAGTAGATTTCAAATTTTTACAACCTAAGTAGCTTAAAAATGCATGTGGTTTGCAGTATTGGACTCGATCATAAAACAATTTCTTCGGTTGGACAACATTTGAAGAGCTTGGAAATGAGAATTCCAAAGAGTTCTTCATATTCAAGCGTGGAGAATGATGAGCCGAATGTTGCAAGTGTTGCTCCTCAACAGATGGACGTCGAAAAAGAAGAAGAAGAAGAAGAAGAAGCTTCCGGAAGCAGTGTTTATCCGACTGAAGATAGAAAAACGACTCGGGATTTGTTAGCTGGTGGAAAGAATCTTGGCAGTGAGGGCGCTGGATGCAGTAAGGGAAAGGGGCAGAGCAAGAAAAATAAGAAGTCGAAAAAAGGGAAAGGCGGGCGAAGGAAGTAAGGTTCGAGCGATCGAATCTACCGTGCCAACTAACAAGAATAGAAATTGAAAAACTTAAAAAACAATTGCAAAATGCAGATTACCCTGTTGTCAGTGCATGGCTCAAGATTAGAATATCATGGAGAATATTGCACTTTTGATTAACTAGTGTATCGCACGTGGTGGTGAATGTTTTTGCTGATTAAATTTAGTAAAATAAATTAATTAGTTTATTAAACGTATCATTGTAGGACGAAGTAAAAAATATAGAACAAATGAATTCTAATGTTTTTTTTATTAAAAGTAGCATAATTATGTCTTAATATAAAAAGAGTGAAAGAACATATTACAATCTCAACAAAATATAGTCTCTAATGGAAAAAACACAAAATAAAGACCTAATGTATGTTATAGATGCGTTAGTTATTTTATTTATTATGTTAGATGATTAAAGAGTGATTTTCTTTCATTTTAGTTTTGACGTTATTCATAATAAACATTGTTACTTGTTGGAACCCAGTACATCAATGGTATTATAAAATTTTTCTTAATTCATCTATATCTATATTACTTTAAAAGGAGGAGTGTTTTTGTAAAAATTCATAATGCCTAAAAAACCCTTACCTTGACATAAATTTAATGGAAAACTAGTAATACACTAATACACATCATATTTTATTTATATTTTTAATTAAAAAATGAACTACCTAAAAAACCCTTACTTTCACATGTTTTTAATGACAAATTGGTAATATACTAATGCAATCATATCTTATATTCTCCTTATATATTATTAAAAAAAACATAACTTTTCTCAATTCAACATAAGCAAATCAATGAAAATAAAATATTTTTAAAAATTTTATGAACAAAAGTTGTCTCGACAATATTATTAATGAATTTATAAATTGTAAATATTTAATTAAAATATTAATTAAAAAATTGTAAATATTTAATTAAAATATTAATTAAAATATTAATGAATTTACTATTCTAATTTTAATATTTTTTTTATTTACTATATTAGTTTTTTAATATAACATATAAGTATCATATTGAACAGATAAAACAAGAAATATTTTAATTATATAATATTTAATATGTAAGAAATGTAACTCAAATGGTAAATTAATTGTTAATTTTGGGATAAAATAATGAGTGATTTCTGAAAAAAAAAAATTATAGGAACTAAAAAGTTCATGTGCTTAATATATTTTTAATAGAAAAATTGTAAACACAATTATTAAATAAATACTACATAAGAAAATATAAGAAATCTTATATTCTCCCTATATATAAATAAAAAACATAACTTTTTTCAATTCAACATAAGCAAATCAATAAAAATAATATATTTATAAACAATTTATAAACAAAAGTTGACTCGACAATATTATTAATGAATTTATGAATTATGAATATTTATTTAATTATTAAATAAAAACATTTAGTCAAATATAATATAATATAGGATATATATATATATATATATATATATATAATATTTGATATATGATGAGGCAGATGATCGAAAACATTCTATACTTTATATTATGTGTTTTTTTGACAAATCTACAGTTAAGAACATGTGAAAGAACAAGATAAAGTTTTAAAACAAATATTAAATATAAGAAATAATATGAAAAATAACTAAGTTGTGACACGTACTAATAAATATAAAACAAACAAATAAACAAAAATATTATAATTAATATAACTAAATATAAACCTCTAAAAAAAATACTTATCGATGTAATCGAACTGAGTTGTTAAACGCTTGTTATTTTTTTGTTCTTATTAATTTTATGTGTAAATTTGAGGTGATAGACAATAGTTATTTGTACATTTATATATATAGATTAGAAAAAAAATTATTATTCTAATTTTAAATAACTTTTTTATTAACTATATCAGTTTTCTTAATAATATAAAAGTATCATATTGAACTGATAAAACAAGAAATATTTTAATTATATAATATTTAATATGTAAGAATTGTAACTCAATTGGTAAATTAATAGGTAATTTTGGGATAAAATAATGAGTGATTTATGAAAAAAAATATATAGGAACTAAAAAGTTCATGTTTAATATATTTTTAATCGAAAAATTGTAAACACAATTACTCAATAAATACTACATAAAATATAAGAAATCTTAAATCTTCCATACATGTAAATATTTAATTAAAATATTAATTAAAATATTAATGAATTTACTATTCTAATTTTATATATATTTTTATTTACTATATTAGTTTTTTAATATAACATATAAGTATCATATTGAACAGATAAAACAAGAAATATTTTAATTATATAATATTTAATATGTAAGAAATGTAACTCAATAGGTAAATTAATAGGTAATTTTGGGATAAAATAATTAGTGATTTCTGAAAAAAAATAAATTATAGGAACTAAAAAGTTCACGTGCTTAATATATTTTTAATAGGAAAATTGTAAACACAATTATTCAATAAATACTACATAAGAAAATATGAGAAATCTTATATCCTCCCTATATATAATTAAAAAACATAACTTATTTCAATTCAACATAAGCAAATCAATGAAAATAATATATTTATAAACAATTTATGAACAAAAGTTGACTCGACAATATTATTAATGAATTTATGAATTGTAAATATATAATTTAATTATTAATTAAAAACATTTAGTCAAATATAATATAATATAGGATATATATATATAAAATATTTGATATATGATGAGGCAGATGATCGAAAAAATTCTATACTTTATATTATGTGTTTTTTTTTTTTGACAAATCTACAGTTAAGAACATGTGAAAGAACAAGATAAAGTTTTAAAACAATTATTAAATATAAGAAATAATATGAAAAATAACTAGGTTGTGACACGTACTAATAAATATAAAACAAACTAATAAACAAAAGTAATATAATTAATATAATAAAATATAAACCTTCTAAAAATATACTTATCGATGTAATCGAACTGAGTTGTTAAACGCTTGTTATTTTTTTGTTCTTATTAATTTTATGTGTAAATTTGATGTGATAGACAATAGTTATTTGTACATTTATATATATAGATTAGAAAAAAAAATTATTATTCTAATTTTAAATAACTTTTTTATTAACTATATTAGTTTTCTTAATAATATATAAGTATCATATTGAACTGATAAAAAAAAAATATTTTAATTATATAATATTTAATATGTAAGAATTGTAACTCAATTAGTAAATTAATAGGTAATTTTGGGATAAAATAATGAGTGATTTATGAAAAAAATATATAGGAACTAAAAAGTTCATGTTTAATATATTTTTAATCGAAAAATTGTAAACACAATTACTCAATAAATACGACATAAAAATATAAGAAATCTTATATCTTCCCTACATGTAAATATTTAATTAAAATATTAATTAAAATATTAATGAATTTACTCTTCTAATTTTAATTATTATTTTTATTTACTATATTAGTTTTTTAATATAACATATAAGTATCATATTGAACAGATAAAACAAGAAATATTTTAATTATATAATATTTAATATGTAAGAAATGTAACT